AAATAAAAAACTTATAATATATTTAGAACAAATAATTATGAAAAAAACTGTATCTTGAAGAATCCATACATCCATGGATGTTGGCATACTTTGGAACTCCAAGGCAATCATCCTTTGACTTCCGGTAACACCAATTTAAGAATCCCTTCTACTCGCCACTTCGAATAAACTGAAAGGTATGCCAACACTAAGACCAATAAATCTAGCAAAACTTCCCCTTATCGATACAGCTCCTTGGTAATTATTCATAGTAGCAATAGTAGTAATTTTGTAACACAGTCATCCAAGAAAATGACAGTAAATAACATTGATATGGACATTTTTTAACTTAATCACAAATTTTATTTTTATAATGAAATTAATTTTTTTTTCAATTTTTACTCGCTGACTTTTGGCATTAGACTATCAGCACTTTGTAAAACTTGTTGTGGTCTTTTTGGCATAAAGTGAGATTAAATCTTACCTTAATTTGTGCATAAAGCGAAACATTAATTTTAATCAGGCATAAGGATCCTTCATTGGTATAAAGGCATTCTATTTGTTTTTTAAGGTAACGGGATTTAATTGTATTGATAACCATAGTCTACCTAACTGGCTTTTTCGACTGAAATACTCTCAAACTAACCAGTAATATATTTATTTAGAGATCCACTTCTACGTCAACACACAAACAACACGTCACATGATGCTGCGAATGACATGTCTCCAAGACGCACCTTTTCAAATATGTTGATATGAAAGGCGGGGTTCATTTTATTGCCAATATATGTGTCAAAGTGGCTGATTTAGAAAGTATGTATTTCGATCTCATGATAAGTAGACTGCGGAAATCAATTACTCTGAATTAATTTGATGTTCATGATGGCGCAGTTTACAAGACGTCCTTCTTTACTTCAAGTGAAAATGGAATTATCTTATTCCATCATGCAAATTGAGAGACATTGACGGAGATGGATCTCACTCTTATAAAAATCTTCAGACAAACACTAAGTCAATGCCAAATAAGTCAAGAAGCCTAACCGACTATCTCTTACATTAAATCCAAAAATACTGGCTAGAACTGATTTGGTTAGTTAGTTTTCCTGCCAAAAGTACATGTATGTCTGAGTGTATGTGTGTATGCGTATAATTGTGCAGACCAGATGCGTAGAACGAATGTGAATAAAGTTAGAACCATCGCCGAACCGAGTGTTTATCAGGCCGATTCAGATAAAATGAAAGTAATTAAAAATATATTATCTCAAAATTTTTTATCTAAACCTATTTACAGAGCTTTTAAAAAATGAGATTTTGCCAATGCACTGTACCAAATGCGACCTGGAAAAAGGCTGTATTATCATTTTTACCTAAGATAGTTTTGTACTGCCTTTTGTTCTACCTCCTCAGCTTGCTTAACGATCTCTGACTTTCTCTCATCCACCATAGGAAGAGGCATGTCTGGAGGAGCTTCGGAAAGAGTGATATCGCGTATCATAGACTCCAGACGATCCCCGAATGTCTGGGACTCACCAGAATCTTTTACTTTCAAACTTGAAGCCGCTACATCGTCTAATGAGCGCAAAGTAAAAATAAAATGAATATTTATGAATAAAGTTAAGATGGGTCAAAAAAGCTAAAATTAACACATTTAAGAACCAAGACATACTCCAAAGATGTTGAGGCATAGACTATTACAACAAGGAATTAAAATGTATCAAAGATTTGGGTTAAAATGACCTTAAATTGTAATTTTATAAAAGCTATTATCATAGTGCTATATAATGTTGTCTGAATAAGGACTTTAGCCAATTACTTTGGGAAATCATCTTTCCCAAATGAATAGACTAGATAATTACGATTTGAATTTTATCTTCCTAAACATTAGGTGGGCGAACAGGAACAGATATAAAATATAAATAAAAACTGAGGCACGTGTATAGACATTTAAATACAAAAGTGACCAGTTATATTGTGCCCTCGTCATTGAACAATGTCCCATTCTATCAAATTTGTCATCTTCCTCATAGTTACATCAAATAACACACATAACCTTTCCTTAAGTTCCTGCCTCTCTTTGTGAAATTCATCTGTTTGGCCTGAGTTAGACTTGCAGTATTAGATTTTAAAGTAATCTTTCGTATCCTACAAATTTCCTGGAATTTATAACAGCCAATCCAATGGCTTCAACAAATCCTTCTAAGTTGAAACCTCCCCCCCGGGTATGATATGCGTATCTCTCCAAATAAATACGTCTAACCTGAACACTAATTCATTTAATACCGAATTCTAGCATGTGTTACATGCTCCCCAATCTTTTGGAACAAGAAAACTAGGTGAGGACATTGACTAACGTTGCCGGCCTAGTTGCTTTGCTTATGATATCCCTGGAATAGTCTCTAATTATATTGTATAAATGTCTTATTAATTGGATTTTATTTCGATTTTATCATAAATATTCCAATGGTCATTGCTAGCTAGAGAGATACTTCGACCTTAGTAGCTTATTTGAGTTTTGACTCTGGGTAAAATAAGACTGTTTGGGGGAAAACAAGACATGTTGGCGCTTTTCCCTCATCCTACCGAAGCCTAGTATTTTTCCGCCTATTTAGAACATCTAAGGCGATTCTTTAATTATCACATTTTAATTAATTGCCACCTATTTTTTTTAAAAAGGCGATATCAATTACGGCTTGTACTTTAAAACTCCTGCAAATCTCACCTTATTATAATTTGCCAGGATGCTGGCTAGATGTGAGATCATCCCTAATCTGTTTTATGTAGAGCCCTTTCCTAGCAAAGCAACTGTTACTTACAGGCCACCCATCGCAATACTTTTCGCATAGGTCTTCAAACAAGAACATCCTTTAATCCCTAAAAGCGCAAATATAAGCAATTGACTTGCTTACTCATGCTCCCCATAAATTCAATAAAGCTACCTTGTTCAGTTTAGATAAACCGTTGAAAATAGAACAGAATTCAAAAGAATATGCTTACGCCGTATTATTTCTTTTATCAACCCACAAGTCTTTATCCGAAAAAAAATGAATTTGTACATGTGTCTATGTGTATGGACATGCAAGCATTTACTTACCTCCCTTTATCATGGAGCCAAAAGTAAAGTCTGTTGAAAGTGATATTGTTATGGAAACTTAGCAAACAGAGGGACGCATTAGCGCTATTGACTCGTTTAGTTAGACACTTCGTTACCATGGCAAATACCTTGGATAGTTGATGCTTCAACGTATCTGCCAGAGATGGCTGTAATCGATACGAAATGCATGATTGCGTTGATTTGGCTTGATAGATGATTTCATACTTGGACCTGATGCTTAGAACGCA